CCATCACATATTCTGGTTTTCCCCAATACCTGCCACTGATGAGGGAACTATGCATTCTCCCCGCAAGTCAGTAATCTTGGTTCTGATGCCAGTCTCATGTGAATGTTGATTACAGAGTCTAAAACACAGTGTATGAGACAACCTGCGATTTGTTTTAAGCTTCCTAGTCTCTGCAGTATAAAAAGCAATTCTAAAAAGAAGATGGATTGAATATTGAATGAATAAATCTTCAACATCTTTCCCAGTAGATTTAGTGTGGATTTGGATTTTACTTCATTTTGCAACTTGGAATATCCACCATTAATTACTCCTGTATCATCTCTCCACATTATCACTCTGTTTATCAATAACATAAACAAGATTTATCTATTTTAAAAAAAGAACGCAATTCTCTCTTAGATCTGCATCCTTGTTCAGCATTTTATAACCTCTCCTGGCATTTAGAGTTGAGGCCCTTGAAATAGTCAATGACTGTTACGTGTACTTCTGCATCTCCCAGGTTCTGGTCCAGTCATAGCAAGTTTTTCTTCCTACACTGTTCTAGTGAAACCCCTCTTTTCAAGGTTTGCAATAACCCCTATTTGTTCAGTCAAATGGACACTTTTCAATTACCATCTTGACCTTCAGACCTTGCCCTTTCTACACAAATTGAAAGGACTCAATGTTTCTTTTGAGAAATATTACAAATAGCTTTTTTAGTCTCTTCATCAATCTTATTAATAGGTTCTTTTTCTTTGCTTGTCCACTACTTGCTGATTTTTCCCAAGTTTTATAATCTTCCAAAGACTATCCTCACATCATTGGTATCAAATATACCAAATATGTTTTGAATCCCAAATATTTTTCTCTTTTTAATACTTCTAAACATGATGCTACACATACAATTACATACTGGATTTATCTGCTTAAATATTTCAGAGGCATTTTGATAATGTCATATATAATAAAGCTGTACTGTATTGTTGATATTCTAAAACTATTGGTCCTCTGGGCTACCCTAGAAGATTTTCTTCTCTTTCTCACTTAGATCCTCTGAAATATACATTCTGAATAACATTTTTCACCTTCCATCCCCACAGCTACTCTCTTGCTTTTCTTCATTTCTTATTCAGCAAGCATCATATCGATTTCTGTGACTTTGGTTTTAGCCACCTGTACTTCACTTTCTAAACTGATATCAGTGTGATCATTTACAAATAAAATTCTGATCATGTCACACCCTATGTAAATATTTGATGCATCATCTTTATGAATATTTGTTAAGCACTTACTATGTTCCAAGTACAAGTTAGGTATAGTTCCAGCTATTTTATAGTCTAAAATAATATGACACAATTGTATTAATATGTGAAGTTAGATTATATGTACCATTGGATACATTGAATATTATGAAATAAATTCAGACATTGTTTCCATGTGTGTGTGTGTGTGTGTGTGAATTTATCTTTCAACACTATTTGCCCCTCAAGCAATTCTGGTGTCATATGCGCATGTTTAACCAATGCCTCCCCCAGTAGCTCCATGAAGGCCGATGGGCTTTCATTTTCTCTCTGTATTATTTCTGCCAGATTTGAATAGTTTAGTGGCTTGGAGCATGGCTTTCTTAACCCTTCTATAATACAAGTGATACAATGATTTCTTCTCCAAGGGTTCTCTGGGACCCAACCTGGATTGGAAAGAGGAACTGCCTGACTTCCAATGGGGCACTTCCTAAGCTCCTCCCTCATCTTTCCCAGGGCATTGATAGCATACCAGTCATCCCCATATTGTAGGGCTTCCCTAAAAACTTTTTCCTTTTCTCCTGAGGAGAGACTCTGGTTGAGAATAAGCATTACATCTTTCCATTCTAGATCAAATGACAAGTTTAGGCCCTGAAACACCTCTATATATTTATTCATATCATCAGAGAATTTCCCAAGGTCTGTTTTAATTTGTCTTGAATCCTGTAAGGAAAAGGGAACATGCACTCTAACAAGTCCCCTGTTCCACCTGCCATTGCTTGGAGTGGCAACAGGGAGAGGTAGGCTGATGGCTCTCCTTTAATAATATCTGGGAGAGCACAGATAATTTGGTCTGAGGAACTGACTTCTCCTATACCACTGAAGGTGGAGGTAAGGCCAGAGAAAGGTCCTCATCTTTTTTATTTAAAATTCCTGGGTAAAGGGCCTCCCTGATGGCGCAAGGGGTTAAGTAATGCACTATGAAGCAATCTGCAGCCTCTGCAGCACGAGTTCAATATCCCCAGCCAGCCAGGGACCAACCCACGTGGCGCAGCAGACCTCTCCTGTCTCACCCACTGCTCCCCTCAGCAGTGTATTTCAGTCAGTCTGCCTATTCTGTTCCCCATTCTGTCTCTGGTGAATCCTCTCACCCCCAACATCTTTGGCCTGTACCCCAGCTCTTGTATGCATAAATAAATAAATCTTAAAAAAAAATCCCTAGGTATGGAGGGCAAGAAGGAATTATTGATGATGGCTGATGGATTGGGGTTGATGGCTGAGGATCCCCAGTACACATTAGGTTGTATTTACTACATAACTTTTTATTGGGACAGAGGACAGAGAAGACCTGTAGGGAGGCCAGTTCAGACCATTTCCCTTCTGACAAAACAATTTGACCTGATAGATGGTATTATAATTTATGCTTCCCTCAAATGGTCAGGATTCCCCATCCTTGAGATCATATTGCAGCTAGTCTTGTGTACAAGAAAGATAAATGTTTTGTTTTTTTTTTCAACGATTCAGGGTCAAACTCACCCCAATTCTTCAGAATACAGGAGAGAGGTGTGCCCTTTTTTAAGACTGATGAGGAAGCTCCCATCTGCAAAAAGGAATGAAGGCCAGTGTCTAGCACCAGCTTCTTTCTACAGGAGGTGTCCCTCCTTTTAACCTTGGAGCTCTAACTGTGAGTGATAAACAGTCTTCTCACACAGGGGTCTATTGGGCTTAATCACTCCCATAACCAGCATGACCTGAACACAATGAGCCTATCTGTTTCTCCCAATGTATAGAAGGTAAGCGGTACTGAACTTTGTGGGGCCATACCAGTGACCCTGTCCCAGCCTCTTTATGAACACTACCCATTCCAAGCGTCTGATGAGCTTATGGTAAGCCATTCTCCTCATCTGATGAAAGTCCCTGAACACAACTGAAGAGTAGAGACTGAACACAAGCCACAGACAGGGTCCTGGGATCCAATTTCCAATGATGCTCCTCCATCAGGCCACGAAAATGGCCCTCACAACCAGGGTCCTTGAACATATAATAGCCTAAGGCCTGACATTTACTCTCCCTGAAAGTCTCTCATTTACAATTCCCATGAGAGAAACACCCATCATCAGATTACTATACCAGAGGTGTATCTGCCTATCTAGACTCAGGGCTTGGGGTAAACCTGTGCAAATCAGAAAGTGCCACAACCCTGTCAAAATATAAAACTCAACTTGTTCTGCCTGTGGCCACTGGTGAGGCTGAAGCGAACACCAGGGACAAAGCTTTAGGGGATGTCCCAAGATATTTAAAAGAACCTCCTGTTTCTCCCAACTCATAAACTGACTTGATAGAAGATGAAGGAAGTCTGCCCCATAGGGGGAGAGACCAAGAAGGTAAAAGTCCTTTTCTAGTTAGTCAGACCTCCGTGACTCTCACCTAGGTGCTGGCCTAGCAGAACGTCTTATCTGCGCCATGAGACCTCCTTGGTGTCCAAGGGTTCTAAGGGCCACAGCTCGGTCATCCCGAGCACCCTCGGAGTCCACAGACAATAGAGAAAAGCAAGGAATCAGTGACAGGAAAATCCCGACATTCCCACTCAGCAAGTGGGGGATCAAGAAGCCTTGCCAATTGAGAAACCTGTCACCCGAGACTAAGAATGGCGGCCTCATGCTAGTGGCTTTTACCAGGCCTGTTGTAGAGCAACCCCGATACAAAACGGGGTGCCTGACTGTGGGTCCTCACCTGGGCGCTTAAAAGGACTTATCAATGCTCTACTGCAGGCACACGCGAAAGGTTAATAAAAGGTTTATTTACAAGGGAAGGGGAAATGAGGAAATGTACAGCTCAGGGAGAAAAGTGGGAGACAAAGTTTTAAATGAGTCCTACCCAATCCACCGATCAGGAATCTCAAAATGGTGCTCTGAGAGCTGGCCGCGAGCCAGCAGCTGTGTAGCCAGGAGGCGAGCGATAGCGAGCCAGCCCAAGGCCCACGTGTTTGGTTTTTATATCCAACCTGGCTGCCCAACTCTACCCTCAGGTCCCAGCCACCCTCCCTTTGGTGGTGATGGGATTTGTCTTTCCCAATGTCCTGATGGCTTTAGTCTGGAGTGGGGGTGGAGTCCACAAAGCCTGTATGGGATTAACTCAGGACATCCTTTCCCCCTAACAGGCCGACGGGTGCCCATTAATTTTGCAGTCAAATAAAGGACAGAGGGAAAGTTTGTGAAATGTCTCCAGTCTGAAGCCCACAGATAACCGAGAAGTAAATCAGTAGTAGCACTGGAAGAGAGAATGAGAGAAGGATGGGAAGGAGAAAGACAGAAAAGGGGAGCAAGAAAAGGGGAGCCATTCAAATAATTTTAACAGGGATCTGAGGCCAGGTTGGAGTTCTGTGTTGGATCCTGTGCAGTGATTAGTGAGGAAAGACTTCCCGACTGTCACATTGGGACCATTCATCCTCTACTGGGTCTCAGCTACTCCCCCTCTGCTGAGGGCCGGGGAGGATGGCCCGAGCTGCTGGGAGATCAGCCCCTTATGTGCAGCTCCCGGACGGCCTCTAGAGATGTATGTGCTTAGCTCTCCTCATACTATGACCAGACTTTTATTTTTTCAACTGGCAGATAGGCTAGTCCCCTTATCTGGTCTGGTTACAAGTTTATCCTTCCACAGGAGTCTTTAAGGCAGTCACCCTCTGGCATTTACTGACTGTCCTGTGGCCTTTTGTTAAACAAGAGGAACATGGGACAAGATGAGAGTACAAAAAAGATTTGCTCCTCTCGGCTCACTTACCTTAAATCTTGCAAGATTCAGACAATGAGCCCCCAGTATGAAGCCAGTTTGCGCTGTTATGGTGATTACAGCTGCTGCTGTGGCTGCTGCTTCTGCTGCTGCTGCTGCTGCTGCTTTTCACCCTGGTAACCACCAGGAGTTCTTGTCTTGTGAAGCCATAAAAAGGAATTCACAGACTTTTCAATAAGCAGGGAGAAGCAAACTTTGTTCAAGAAAGTGAAGAAATGTTTATTTAGGAAAGAAAAAAAAAAGGGCAAAAAAGCAAAGATTCCCAGGTACAAAGTACCTGGAAGGGGCAAGGAAGCCATATGGAGTCTTGCTTCGCGAATATATACGTTCCCTCATTGTGCTGAAGTTCTATTGGTCTCCCAGTGATTGGTTAGTTCTCGATGGCCTCACTTACTCAGCTACTGTACTTGGAATCTTCCTGCCTGCGTCATGGCCCTTATCTTTAAGCATACTTTTCTTTTATGATCCTTGATCTGAAAGGGCTTGTTTTCCCTAGTCTTGAGGAGTTTGATTAACTCCCTTCAGAATTTGTTGTCCTTATCTCTGGATCTTCTTTATTCCTCTGTTGCCCTTATCTCAGAAGCTACTTTACTCTCACTAAGTCCCTGCCTGCACTGTCCCTGAAGCTACCTGATTACCTTAACTTGCCCTAGGACTCAATACTGCTTCAAAAGTATGTGACCCACACCTACCCCACCAAGGTGCTCTCAACCTTCCACCATAGATAGTCTTCATTTTAAATCTGTTCTTTAAATGCAGAATGAGAGAACAAAATGGCACAGAAAGTGAGTTGGGATGATTCTGGACAGTTGGAATTGGATGTTCTGTCTTGTTGAACGTTATCAGGTTTAACTGCAACACAAAAAAACAATCTTTATATCAGGGTAATTAGTAATTATACTCATTTAAAGCTTACTATGCCATTATCTACTGATGCCTAACAAACCATCCTAATCTCAACGCATTAAATAAATGACAGTAATTTATTTGGTTTGCAAATCTGTAGTGTGGATAAACTCAGTGAGGGCAGTTTGCATGTTGCTCAAGCTGGAATATTTAGGAGACAGTTGGGTGCTGGATCTGAAGATTCACTTACTCAATTGTTGAACAGTTGAAGTTGCTCTTATTTGGCACTTTACCTGAGAGTGAACTGAGAAATAAAAATTACACTGGATAAAGTTAAACAGGCAAAGAAAGCTTTATTCAAGACTATCATTATAGAGATAAATATCAATACCATTGCAATAAGGAATCGGGATTGACCTCAACTCTGCGAAGCAAAAGGTAGGAGAGTTTTTTAGTGCTGCTGTTAGTCAGTGGAAAAGTACTAGAGAAGGGAGAATTTGGGCAGTGGGATCAGGCTTTCAGTGTTGAGTAATTTGCACCTTTCAAAATTAGGTTCCTACCCTTCCACTGACGATGGGAAACAGGGTGTTATTTTTCCTGATCACATTGCAAAGGAATAGCTCAGCTGGTTCTTGAGAAAGACTTTCCTGGGTTATGAAATTATCAAAAGTTTGGGAGGAGATTTACATCTCAAAGGGGCAGAGAAAGAATTTATAATTGCAAATAAATGCTCTAAGAAGAGGTCAGAAGCTTATATTTAGAAGGAAATCTTCTGGTTTAGTCTCCTAAGGAAAATGTTAAGACTGTCCTCAGGGAAATATACAAGTGAGCTCTGTGAGTGGCTGCTTGGCTTCCTCACAGTAAGGGTGTCTGGATTCAGAAAGCAACCATTACAAGAAATATCTAATTCTGACCTAACATCAAAAATCACAAATCACATCTCTTCTGCTTCATGGTGTTCATTGAAGAAGTCACAAAAATCCACCAAAGGCAAACACAGAAAAAAAAATTGTCCTTCTAAATGGGAGAGTGAAAAATCCTGAAAGAGCATCTGAAACTAGAAACATCGTTGCCATTATTTTTGAAAAATAAAATCTGCCACATCAGCGTATATATGATTCTCATTCAGCAGTAACCACAGAAATTGTTTAGAATTAGAACAACAAAATATTTTTTTCTGGGAGGACTGTTTTATTACTGGCATTATTGGAATTGTTGGTGCATAATAAAAAAAACAGACAGACTAGGTTGATTTTATTATTGTTATAAGTTTTCTACTAAAAAGACACTCAATTACTGTCTATACCCATGCAGTTCCCTTACACTGTACTCTCTTTGTTAGGAAATCACTCCAATTCCTTCAAATAAAATACCAACTCCCAATATTACCTTATAAAGCACATCATAGACTTTGCCTTTCCTTTAGAAGTATTGTCTGATAATTCTTAATTGCACTTTATACACTAGACATGCTGAATTTTTTGTAGTCCCTAAAAAGAAAACAAAACAAACAAAAACAAAACAGTCAATATCCTTTTTTTTGTATATGTACTTTCCTTCTGCCTGAAATGAAAACTGCTTTACATAGACCTATCAATTCAGTATTTGTTCTATAGGAATCTTTCCAGACCACCCTTTGAGACCTTGGACTTAATAAATCTCAGATATAAAGGTCTCTCATCTGTTATAGGGAGTTATCACTCAATTCTCTCTGTACAATACCTAAGCCCAAGCTCATATGTAGGTCTGTCACTATGTAGGTCTGTCACTTTTTAGGCCTCAGGTTTCTCTAAGATAAAAATTCAGAATTAATTTTAGACCTTCTAAAATCTTCATCACGACCAAGAAGCTATTGATTTACGTGTTAGTTAATTGACTAGTTATTGATTTGTGTGTTTGTTCCACAGCATTGAATGGAGACTGTAGATGTGAAATGCACACCACCTTACCAACACTGGAGATTTCCTTAGAAATAGTCATTTAACTTGCTCCATGCTTTTTGTGATTTGGCAGTTCATTTTTTTTTATGGCTGGATAAATCTCTGTTGAATGGATGTATAACTTGTTTATCCATACACCTATTAAAAGATATTTTGATTGCTTCCAATATTGAGTAATTACAAATAAAGCTGATATAAATATTTATGTGAACATGGTTTAGACTTATCTCAGTAAAGAATAAGGAGCATGATTGCTAGATGATATGATTACATTTAGTTTTGTAAGAAACTGCCATATTGTGGAAACTAAATTGTTGCAACATTTTGCTTTCCCATCAGTATGAATGAGAATTGTTGCCCTGCATCCTTGCCAACATTTGATATAGTCCACTGTTTGCATTTCATTCAATCTAAGTAAGTGTGTAGTGCATGTCATTCCTGTTTTAATTTTCAGTTCTCTTTTGATACAGTTCCAAGAATTCTTTTTATATTTTGCTTATGTTTCAGACATATTTTGCAAATAATTTCTCCCAGTCTCTGGCTTACCTTTTCATTTTTTAAATGGTTAACTGGATTTTATTTTCATTCAGTGATGTTCTTGTATGATATATCCTTAGGACATTTAAAGCACACAGAAAAATGTGTACAGGTCAATAATTAATAGTTCATTTTCTTTTGCTTGTAGTATAAATCTAAACAATATTTCTTAAATAAATGTGAGTTGTCACTGGATGTCACTGTTGCTTTACTAAATATGTTCATTTAACTTAGAAAATTTTCTAAATATTACATTAGAAAAGAAGCAAATCTATATCTTAAGTACCTACAGTTAGGTTTAGGTCCAAGCTACATAGACTATCAAGAGTTAGAAAAACATTTGTGTTTTAATTTACAATTTCTTTGTAACTCATAAACATGTTTCAAGTAACACTAATATTACATTAGGGAGACTGTACAGAACCAAAAATGTTATTTGAATATTAATATTTTTCAAAAAAGAAGGTTAAGAACTTAAGAAGGTTAAGAAAGTTAGAGTACATATGGCACATAACAAATTTACAGTATATTAAAAGTTTGTATTATCTACAAAACATTTAATATCATATGCATATAAAGTATGTATTTACATATACACAAGTACTAAAGTGTACATGCTAAATGTAAAATAGGAGCAAAATCATATATATTGTTTAATTGCAACTTTATATATACTGAAAATTTTATTTTGATTTTTTTTCCATAGGAAAAATTTATTTTCATGAAAAAAGTTTATCACAACTCCCAATAACCACCATATACTATAACTACCAGCTAAAACTGCCTATACAGATCAGCTTATCTTTGCAAGTGCCTTGTATTAAAACTGTTTCTACACATGTCTTTCCATGCTCTGAGCATGTTCCTGCCATTGCCCTATTGTCTGGATCAGCCGTTCCAGCCATTCCATGCTTCTCTAAGAAGCATCCTTTCTTAGAGATTCCTACTCTGGGTTAGAGCCTCTTATTTGACATTATCTTAGAACATTACTTATCTCTCACTCTCCTGCTTTTGTTTTTGTTTTGTTTTTTTCCTGTTAACATTCATCATCCAGGTTGGTTTTGTTGAATGTTTACTTGTTCTACTGGGCTTTCTACTTCCTGAAGGTAGCACAATATATATTTTATTGGATGATAATATCCAGTAACACATAAAATATTATTCATTAAAATGTGTTAAATTGTGAAACTTTAGTTAAGCAATAACCACTTCAACCCTGTAAACTATTACATTGAAAGTGATTTATAATCATAAATTCTGTTAGTAAAGATTCATTTGGGGAAATAGGAATAAAGCTCTGAATGTAAAATGAACTATAACTGATAAATATTGTAATTTACTTAGCTATTCCCTGAAGTGAAGGACTTATAAATACATACTATGGAACTTTTAGGACTTACACCTTTCTAATACATCATTTCTACTTTGAAACATAAGCTTACATGTATCACTATTAAGAAAATAAAGATAAGACATTGTTTATATTAACAGTCAATATAAATATCAAATTGTAGTACAAAATTTACATTTTAATTTTCATTTGAACATTTCTTGGAGTTCAGCAAAAGTTTTCCCAGCTTATCTTGCACCTCATCCTTGGACTCATTTTCCTAGGGAACTTCATCATTTTCTATTAACTGGAATATACTATTTAAAGCAAACAAATCCTTTTAGACCCTTTTAGTGGCAAGATCTAAGAACTACATAATTTGTGTATATATGCTTACATATACACAGACATGTGCAACTATATTATCTATGTATCTGTGTACCTGTGTATCATCTATTGATTAATAGTGTTCTTTTTCTTTGTCATCATCACCATCACCAGTATCATTATCTATCAAGTCTATCTATATTGAAAACCATGAGTTAATACCAATGTCTTTAATTCTAAATAAATACAATGATGTTCATTTTAGTTTTTTAGTAGAATAATAGTATCAAACTATAATACAAAGTATAAAATAAATATACCTAAATTCATACTAA